CTAGGTTCTTCATTAGTGAGCAATTTTTACATCAGGAAAGCAGTTTTGGAACTCCAAATTGATGGATGGATGGATGTTTGTTACTATGTAACTACGCATCTGTTTCTTAGTTGTGGTAGAAAGAAATTAAATTTACTTTTTACTAATAAAATACGAAAGTTTTGATGAAAGGATGTTTGTTACAGTTTATAGCCTAAACTGCTGATCGGATCTCGAAGAAAATTTTGGCATAGATGTAAGTTTTGTGTTTTTTTAATTCTACGCGTACAGAGTTGGGGGCGAAATCTAGTAAAATAATAACAATTACAATGCACAGACATAGATCAAAACATCATTATAAAACTCTTAAGATGTCTTACTGCCCCCAAAAACAACAACTATTCGAATTTCTCATACTAAATTACTTAAGAGATTGTCTCTGAATATAATACATACTTACTCTAAGATTAATTAGGGATATATAAGAACTATCAGCTTTCGCCCGCGACTCTGTCCGCGTGGGATTAAAAAACACAAAAGTGAGTATCCTGTGTTCTTTCAGACTACTCTCTACATCTATACCAAATTACATCGAAATCCGTTCAGCAGTTTAGGCTACAAGCTCTAACAAACATCCATCCATCCATCTAAACTTTTGCATTTATAATATTAGTAAGAAGTAAGATAAATATGAATACTATGACTTACTAAATCCTGTAGATCCAAATGCACTTCCAGTATTCCCGCTGCCCCAGAAGTTGTTGCCAGTATCCTGTTCGAGAGACGCATTTGCAGCTCCGAATATAGACGCTGCTTGGTTAGATTGTCCAAACGTCGTTTTGCTTCCAAATACATTTGTACTGCCACCGCCGAATATTGAACCGGAACTATTGAAAATATTAAAAATTACTATTGATTACTAAATAGACAACTTATAAAAAAAAATATCTTATGATGCCAACATATCCTTAAACTTTAGATTATTCGTCAAATCTTTTTATTTGTAATTTTTTTCCGTCAAACCGATTAAAAAAATATATAGAGAAGGCATAGTTGATATTTCACTTGAGATATTTTTACATAAAAACACTGATGCTATATATTGTTACATTTTCAAAACCATGTCAATATAATTAATTGTATTAAAATTAATTTCCAAGAGTCATTAAATAATCTTTAAATGTTTAATTTATTCAATTTTTTAAATTTTTTTATTACATGTCAAAGTGGCACTAAACTAAATTGAAAAATTTGGTTCACTTTCCCTCATCTATGCATTTTTTAAATGTCTTTGATTTTTATCGAAAAATGTTTAAATCGATATTGAAATAAATGTTTTTTCTTACCTTCCTCCAAAAATATTTCCTCCGCTAGCCGGCGTCGCTGCGCTCGTTGTAGATATAGTTGCCGCAGCAAATAAGTTTCCTTCTCCGCCACCAAATAACGACGAAGACTGTGTTGTTGTCGGTGTTCCGAATATTGAAGCTTGTGTTGTGGGAGTTTCAAATATCGAAGCTTTTGTTGTCGCAGTTGGAGTTCCAAATATTAAACTTCCTGTTGTTGTTGTTGTAGTTCCAAATACTAACGCTGGAGTAGTTGCCGTAGAAGTTCCAAATACTGAAGCTTGTGTTGTGGCGGTTCCGAACATCGAGGCTTGTGTTGTAATGGGAGCTGTAGAATCACTTTGAGTCGTTTGTGTAGATCCAAATATCGAGGCTTGTGAAGGTGTGGATTTCCCGAAGATAGACTCTTGGGTTGTACCAGTAAAAATGGATTGTTGACTAGTTGTTGTCGCACTCGAAGTGGTTGTGGCGGTGTTTAACACACTTTGTGTTGTTGCAGTTGTTACGCTGGCTGTAGATGTGGTTGTGAGAACAGGTGTAGGCGTTATTGCAATTATTGAACTCTGTGTCACAGTTGCGTCAGTAGTACTGACTACTGGTAGAGTTTTGGTGGTTTCCGTAGAAGTGGTAGTTGGAGTGATTTGAGTTGTAGCTTGGCCTTTAGTTGCATCTGTAGTAGAATCAGAAGCGGTTGTTTTCGGTTCAGTTACGGCTATAGTAGTGGAAGTAGGGAAAGTAGTTGTTAATACAGCGCTACTAAAAATAGACTTTGCAGTAGAAGTTGAAGTCGTAGTAGTAGTTGATGATCCAAATACATTTGTTCCAAAGAAATTAGATGGTGATTTAGTTCCGAATATGGATCCAGTTGGAGATGTTGGGGTTGGCTTATCTTGCTCCTTCTGTGCAGTATACGCTGCACCGAATATAGAAGATGGATGTGAAGTGCCAACCGCTTCAGGTTTTTGCACTTGTGTTGTTTCTTTTATGGAAGATGTAGATGTTATTGGAGATTGAAAAACTGAAGTGGCGTTTGTCGTTGACTCTGTTTGCAAGTTGGTAACTGCAAAAAAAATTATTATTGGATATTTTAAACTAAAAAGTATAGTTATGTTCACGTATAAAAATATTATACTCACTTTGCATTGATGGTGTTAACGAGAAAGCAGGCTTTTGGTTATTAGATAAATTAAATGGTTTCGCTTCATCTTTCTTATCGTCTGTCGGTTTTTGGGGTTCGTTTAGCACCTTTTTGTTTTCTTTTTCTGGGACATTTTCTTTCAGTTTTATCATAGATTTTTCCTTATCTTTCACCTCTTCTTTAGTCTTCGACTCTACTTTTGTTGCGGCTTGGTTGCTGGTCTTTACTATATCTGGTACATTAATGACTTTTGCAGCAGCTAAAGGAGCAGTTTGTTTCAAAGTAAATACATTAGTGCTAGCTTTCTCTGCAAGAGGTTTATTCGAGGTACCTTCGGCCTCGCCGGTCTCACTAGATTTTATGTCAGCACTGGATAATTGTAGTTTGGAAGCGGCTGCAGCTTTTTGCTGCATTTTATTACGCAATTGATCTATTTCAGCCATGTTAGCTGTTATCGACGAGGCTTGGCTGGACACTAAAAACATTATGTTATTATAGAAAGCCATTCTTTTGTTAAAAACAATTTTTGATTATTAAACCTTACAAAAAACAGTTACAAATCTTCACGGTAGAGAAAAAATGTGGAAAAGACATCAGTCTCTTAGCATATGTTTTACTATTAGACAGAACTTAATCATACTAATATTATAAATGTGCAAGTTTAGATGAATGGATGTTTGTTAGAGTTTGTAGCCTAAACTCTCTATCGGATCTCAATGAAATTTGGCATAGTTGTAGCGGATAGTCTAAAAGAACACATAGGCTACTTGATTCTTATTAATACCACGCGGACGGAGCCGCGTGCGAAAGCTAATTATAAATACATACTTGCATATCCAGGGGGCGTGCATATAGGTTGTCCCATAAATCTGTTGGCATCATTTCTAGGTACGTTATTAGCTTGAGCTTTATTCTGTAACATATCTTTGAGCAGGCTGAGAGTGGATCTGGACACCGGCATTGTATTTTGTGGTTTGGTTTTTTCCGGTTTAGGCGCTGTTTGCACTGGAACTGGTTTTGGTGTCGGCTGATTGACTTGGAACTTTGCTGGCTCCGGTTTTGGTTCTGAAATCATTGTAGTATTTAGTTCCCAAAGTAGGTCCAAATAATCTCTTAGTGGATGCTGGCCTAGAAGAGGACGGTACGAGGCATAGGAAAATTTGGTGGGTTTTGTTGATTATTGCTAACTTTGATTAAAATCTACCCTTAATGTTATAAAGTTGCAATGTTACTGCTTTCTCTGGTAAGAAGTCTCGTTTAGACTATAGGTTTAATTAAACTCCAGGCCTGAATATTAAGAAAGCCATATTTTAATAGGGTTATTAGAAAACTGACCTTCAGTGAACAATGTTCTCGCAACACTAGCCATTCCAGGTTTGTATGACTGCACATTACTAGGTTTGTAAGATGGGACATTTAACTGAGGCTTTGCCGTTTCAATCTTTGGTTCAGATTTAATTATTTGTGCTTCACGATTCATGGATACATCTGAAAATAAATTTTAACTCAGGTATCTCATTTAATTAATTTATTTATTTAATATAAATATTTATTCCATGCAGAAAATAACTTTAGAGGTACGAAATAATATACATACATTGTGTTATAAGTATGGACCATATTGGGTTTCTTTTATAATTTTAATAATTTTATAGCTTAAATGTCAATTACCTATTAATTTAGAGTCTCAAATATGTAAATCTTAATGCTTACCAGGTTTTATTTCTTGTTGTACTTTAATAGTTTGAGATTGTTGTTTCTTCAGAATATCCTGTTGTTGTTGTTGTTGTTGTTGTTGTTGTTGTTGCTGTTGTTGTTTTTCCAGCATTGCTTTCCTTTCCTTTACACTGTTCTCGTACTTCAGTCTCATTTCAATCAACTTTTCTCCCAGCTCGATATTGACAGGTTTTATTTTGACAGTTTTGTGATTTGACAGCATATCCCGTAACGCATCAAGTTTCTGATTTGACATCATCTGTTCTCTATAATCTTGTTCTGGCTCCAAACTCATATTGTAGATGCTTCTCGTTACTTTGGAGAGTGGATCACTGCAATAATATACTTCTAGTTATATCTTGTAATCATACTAATATTACATATGTGAAATTATGGATGGATGGATGTTTTTTACTACATATCTTCAAAGTAGATTAACGAATTGCGATGAAATTTGGCTCAGATGTAGAACATATGCTTCTTATTAAGTTCTTTTAAATATTAAAGGTAGTATCTACAATAAAGTAATGCTTTTAAGTATATTACATAATGTTATTGTAAGACATTTACAAAAAACACCAAACATTTAAAATCAATCATCATAAAGGTAAACTTACATTTTGTTTCTGAATGGGGTGCTTCTCAAGATGGATGTAGATTTCATAATGGGTGCAACATCGCTGCACTCTCTCAATGTATTCCTCAATGCTTTGAGCACCGCCTTCTGTCGGGTCAGTATTTCTTGTTGTTTCAC